TTTGTGATATTCCCTACAACCACTCCAACCACACTTTGTCTTGGCTTTTGGACTTGATGATACATACACTTATACAAAACATATTGGATGACATATTCAATTGAGAGAGAGAGGGGAGAGGGAGCCGTGTGAGGTAGAGCGAGAAGAAGAGAAGGGAGCTCCAACCTTCCATTTCCATATCTTGTGAGTCTTCTTGAGTTTCCTATTGAATTTCATCATGTTCTAGCAAGCATATTTGGAAAACTCTTGTACATCACTCTTGATATTCATGTTTAGATCTTATATTTGAGTGTAAGAGAGAGAGAGGTTTGAGTGTTCATGTTTTTCTTGTTCATCCATGGAAGTTCATACTTCTTGGGCTTGAGTGAACACATGTAAAATGCACACACTCACTTTGGGACACTATATTTGAGTGAGTTTGTGAGAGCTTAAGTGAGGAGGATATCTTTATCCCTTCAACTATATATATATCAACATCATACTTCCAGCTAGAGGGTTTTCTTGTAGATGCTCAGCTCAGTTCATGAAGAAGGAGATAAAGCAAGCAATACCTGTTCGCCAACCAGCTCGAATAGGACGTCTGTTCTGTGACTGTTGCAACGACGGTAAAATAGTCATTCCCTTAGCCGTAGTGCTTTGTGTTGTGGGAGTTGAGTAGTAGTTTGGTGGTGAGGGAGGGGTTATGCAAGGTTTCTTCCGTGAACTTGTACATCTCAGTATAACCAGCTGTCTATAGTGGAAAAGCCTGGATTGGACGTAGGTTCTTTGTAACCGAACCGGGTCAACAAATAATTGTGTTGATTTTTGTGTTGATTTGGTTTTTTGTTGGTTTGCTTTCAACATCAGCTTAGTGCTTAAAGATCAGACAATAGGATGGATTTATACTCGTCTTAACCTTATAAACCTGCTGTTTGTACGCAACATGACCTAGTTCTATGTTTTACAAGTGTTGCATCAGTTATACAACAGTACTAGTTGTATTTGTGTAACTGAATCTGATTTGGGGTTTTAGATCATTCCGCACACACCCCTGTTTTTCTACACAAATTCCAAACACTGTATTTCAATCTTATCGTATCATCATGTTTACCTAAAAAAGTGCTGTACTCTCAGTTTTAGCATATAAAGGTGACTGTATTCATAATATCACGACAGTTGGGCAACAGATCGTCTTTCCTTAAAACCGATGTACAACGTTATTCTTTATATTCCGGAGTTTTTTTTTTTTTTTTCATTATTTCAAAGAACCTTTCAGGTGTATGTAATCCCTTTTAACAACTATGGAGCCATCGGATGGTTTTCTTATGGAGCCATCGGATGGTTTTATTATTATTATTGTGAAGTATACCAAGATGAAAAACATAAAAACATTAAAATTCCTGCAGTTGAGCTAGTTAAGAATATAGTTGCCACTGAAATATTTATAAGTCTTTTATTCAAATGGGTATGTCCCGCGTAAATTAGCCCAATGCACAACAAACATCAGATCTGTAACAATGCACAACACTCCCACATATAAATATGAACATGTAATAAAATATGCAAGCACCCAGATTAATTTCTTTATTGCAACAATTCAATGTATTGGCATATCAAAGGAATGTGCAGTAGCCAGTATGTAAATAGTAGACCATTAATCTCAAGCAGTACAAGCAATACTACACCCCGGGTCAACGTAAAACGGCTCATACAATCAAAATAAAATCTCACATTCACCGTATCAAGTTTTCAATAATCCCTCACCTAATTACGCGCCCTGCACGTTAAGTGATTCTGTTTTTTCTTTTTCCTTGAGCAGCTTACCGAATATTTACATAGTAGGCAAAAGATACCTAATTGTGCATCCTTTCATCATTATTGCCAAAGTTTAGATTCTCCATACCCTTTAGGGTCGAGTCGAAATTTCTTACATTTGGGAGGTTTCTAGTCGAGGCTGAACGTTTATGATCCGATGATACAACCGGCGAACTTCGTTGTGCAGCACTAGGGTTTCTTCGGAGTGATTCGGTTGCACGAGCTCGAGAAGGGTCAACATCGCTCGAGGGAAGTTCGGCATCTCGACTGACAGCAGCAGGCCTCCTCGATGACCCAATTTGCCGGAAAATGTTGGAACTTGACAGCTGTGGAAAAAGCCCGTTTAGATTATGTGATGTGGAAATATTAAATGCGAGAATTTCCTTTTTTTCCTTGAGGTAGTAAAAAAGGGGTGTTAACTTTTAGCCTTACTTCTTTAGACACAGAAGCATCATTGACGGCTGGGCCTTTTTGTCTGGACAAATTGCCTGAATTCAAGAAGTTTCTGCCACGGTTTGCACTTGCAGACCAACCCAAGCCTTTACCGTCATCAGCACCTGCATTAAAACAGTTGTACCATAAAAGATAGAAACTTTACCACAAATGCACCAGAAGAAAACCAAAGTACAATCACAAAATCACTTGGCTCCAAAATAAGATATGTGCCATTCATATTTAGCAATGACACGATATATGACTCACCTGATTGTTTATCGGTATTATTGGCATGTGGCATTCCCGAACTAGTTCCAGCAGCAGTACCCTGTTAACAAAAGTCATTATTAGATCACATCCTGAAAGCCATATAGCTTGCAAGCCACGAGGGAACATCCTGACGCTTGAACAAATTTTCTTTGCAGATTACTTTGGGTCTGACCGGCAATCTGGATGGTATAAAGACCCAAAATTTTTGGTCCTACAGATATGGGCTCGGTCAGACCCCATGCCCAGGCAGGCCAGGCTTCATTTCACCACCTCTAAGTAAGACTAAAAAATCCAATTTACTTACAAGGGCGCGAGAAGGAGGATTGGCGAGTTGCGATTGTTGATATTTCAAGATAGTCCAATCGAATACGTAGTCGAATTGAAAACCTGCCAAGTTAGAAGGAAGGGAGAATCAAGCTTAGATTGCGTATAATAGGATAATGAGCGATTATAGAAAAAGCATAGATAATGGAATATTAAGGTAGTTCATAAAAAAGAACCTTCGCGAATAAAAAGGTCGCGGAATATTCTCTTCAAGTAGGCATAATCCGGTTTATCATCGAATCTAAGCGATCGACAGTAGTGAAAGTAAGAGGCAAACTCAGAGGGATAACTACGACATAAGGCCTGTCAAAATATCCAATTATTGAATCTAGCATAACAGGAAATACACCGGAATTTAGGACAGAGCAAAATTTTCATAATTACCTCTATTGACGTTGAAACTTTTTTCTCGCTAATTTTCTCATATTTCTGTTTCTTGTTGCCAGCCTTCAGTCCCTGCCAGGGAAGGCTGCATATTTGATAGACATGAGTAGGAGATACTATGACCAGGGGAATATATATATATATATATATATATATATATATATATATATATAATGTGTGTGTGTGTGTGTGTGTGTGAAATAAGAAAGGAGTTTCCATTTGCGCAAACACCTTCCTCTTAAGAAATACATGAAAACATATCCAAGTGATTCCAGATCATCCCTTCGACTTTGTTCTGTAATTCATCCATAGAGGAATATAAAGAATGGAACCAAACATGAAACCAAAAAATAATTAGATAAGATCTGGAAGGTCGAACGGGTAAAAAGATATATCATGATATGTGCATACCAATGCCAAGATGCGTATTCATGCTAGCATATCTGGCTGTCCCTGTCAAATTCTTGTTTTCCCTGCATTTAAAAGAACCAGAAAAAGCTCAAATAACTACATTCCATTGAATTCCTAAATAAATGCCAGAGACAACTTTACCTATATGGGATATGTTGATGTGTTGAGGAGTCTCTATATTTCTTGGCAAGTCCAAAATCTATGGCATATACCTACAGATAACTTGAAGAGTAATTGGTTGCTAATAAATTTCCAAAAACTAAATGAAAAAGTGAGCAAGCTCCAAAGAAAAGAAAGATTTACCTGATTTGCACGCCTCCCCAAACCCATGAGAAAATTGTCAGGCTTGATATCTCGATGGAGGAATGACTTAGAGTGGATAAACTCAACCCGATTAATCTACAATCACAGACACGTGCACACACACTTTCTCAGAGCATAACAAAACATGAAATTGTCTAAAGGTTAACTTAACACAAACAAAAAAATTCGATATACCATCTGATCGGCAAGCATGAGAACGGTCTTCAGAGACAGCTTACGACTACAGAAGTTAAACAAGTCCTCAAGACTTGGTCCCAACAAATCCATCACAAGGACATTGTAGTCTCCTTCAACACCAAACCATCGAACATTCGGAATTCCAGCTGCCAGAGTTTTAAAAATAGTGAAACAGTGAGAACACAAAAAAAAAAAAAAAAATGTAATAAAGCCCAGATAAACAACGGAAGGAGGGATTCTTACTTCCTCCTTGAAGTAATTTGTACAGCTTCGACTCGTAAAGCAACTGGGGATGTTTAGTCTTCACATTTTCCTGAACAAATGGAATACATTCTCATAAAGTAATACAATAACCAATAAGTTAACGATATAACACGGAGGAACAAGTTCAGAGAGACATTAAAACAATTGAATTACACTAAGAAACTAAATCTAAATGCAGCAGACATTCCAAAGAAGTCATTATCTGTATCAAATCAAAACATACAAGATAATTCTTGGGAAGCACTAGCAATGTAAAGATCTCACACATTGTAAAAATTTCAAGGATCACTTCTTTCTTTATTCTAGAAAGTCATAAAACATTATTGCAACCTAGTAACAAGTGAAACGAGATAGCTCGCGCAGGGGACCGGCGCAAAGACACATCAAACAAACAAAACAGACGGATTCAAATATCTGAGAAACCCATCAACAGAAGCAAACAAACCATACAAATACACAATGAGAAACATAAAACAGAGATGGAAGAAAGCCCTTTTAATCACTTACAAGCTTAATAGCAACCTCCTCATTGGTCTGAATATTAGTACCTGAGAAAAGCACAAACAAGTACCAATCAATCGAGCAGCCTAAAAACACAAGAACAATACAAAAAATCACAAAAATTATGCAAAACCTACCCAAATAGATCTCCCCAAATGAGCCACTTCCAATTTTACGACCTAAACGAAACTTATTCCCAACGCGAGGCTCCATTAAAATCAACGAATTAAAAAAGCCTTGATTAAGGGTCCTTCTCAAGGATTTAAGTTACGTATCAAGATCAAATCAAACTAAAAAAAAAAGGAGAATTTGCAGAGAGGGGTAGATGAAGAGAGAAGGAACAGCAAATCGGCATGTTGTTGTTCATACGAAATTCATCACCACCACAGTGGTTCGATCTAAACGATAAAACTCGGAGATTATTATGGTGGCTTTCCACCTAGCTGCTGCCTATAATAATATTCAATTAATTAATTAATTAATTAATTAATTAATACCACTAATTTTGATGGGTACCCTTTTTTATGCTTAATTGTGTTAAACAACAGTTGGTTGGATATTAACAACACAAAAATAAAATAAAAAAAATCCACGGACTTTGTATATTTAATTATTTATGTAAAAGGAAAAGTATACTTACCTAATATTTTTTAGGGAATTTTTTTTTTTTAACCTCGTATGTCATAATTTAGAGTTTGTCATACAATTTTTTTTTTTTTTTTGGACAATTTGTCGCCTAATTTAATCGATACTAACAATTTGTTTTCAAGATTAAAAACTCTAATATGACACAAAAGAGTTTTGAACTCAATTAATGATAAATTATAAATTAATCTTTAAAATTGATTTAAGGCTTTTAAAGCTCGTGGCGGGACGAACAAATTGAGGTATGGTTTGTCGGTTTTTAAAAATTGGTACCTCTATAATCGATCCACGAAGATAGTAAGAGCACGTGTGTATAGAAAAAAATTTCAATTCCAAATTATCTGATAACCGTGATATTCGATTTTCAAACAAAATATCATATTTAAAGAAATAGCAACCTTAAAAGCTAGGAAAATTTATTATAACTCACCAAACAAAACCAAGTAAAAAAAAAAAATCTGAATTTCAAATCTAGTTTCTAAATATTGATTAATTCATGACACTAGGATATGAGTAATCAACAAAATTCAAATGTGGGCTCCATATATTTACCAACTGAAATTTCAAACATTTATTTTAGGAGACACCAATCTTTAACGTAAGCCACCCCTAAGATAGGGGCTCTAAGTGTGGACAAATGAATCTTCGGGCTCTAAGTATGAACAAATGAATCTTCGACCCTAACATAATTTTTTTTCAAGAAATAATTAAGAAAGTGTGACAAAATATCATTGATTAAGTATCGATTCGTATATTGACATTTGAAGATATGATAAAATGTCTTCAATTTCTAATTAGATATATACTATTTTTCTAGAAAGTTAAAATATTTTTTTTGGTAGAGTATTGTTGACCGGTTTACATTTTTATCATGCTTTTTAACTGGTATGTGGCTCGTGTAGTGCTGACTGATCAGGTCGTATCGTCCCAAATATACAACGACGATCGTCTCGAAATCTGTAACATACCAGACTTACAAGCTCCGTCGAAGTATAACGGAATTGAGCACATGTAAATTAGACAACTAATAAAAATCTCAATTTTCTTTCTTTATATCACAACTGCAACTCAACACACATATATAGAGAGAGAGATGAGGGTGTTTGTGGTACTGATCAAGCAGGCAAGTTGCAGTAAGACAAACAACACCATTATAAGTATTCTAGTCGAGCTATGTGAGCATAAACAAGGTAAAATCATGTATATATGTACCTGTCCTCTTCAATGATCATCTTACAAAATACATTACACACAACAGCCATGGAGCTTTGTAATGGCCGCACCTTTTTTTTTTTTTTTTTT